GTGTGATAAAGTTTGTGTGTGACAAAGTTGTGTGTGACAAACGAAGTTGTGTGTGACAAAGTTGTGTGTGAAAGATGGTGTGTGACAAAGAGGTGTGTGACACAGTTGTGTGTGACAAAGTTGTGTGTGAAAGATGGTGTGTAACAAAGTTGTGCGTGACAAAGTTGTGTGTGACAAAGTTGTGCATGAAAGATTGTGTGTGACAAAGTTGTGTGTGTGAAAGATGATGTGTGACAAAGTTGTGTGTGTGTGACAAAGAGGGGTGTGACAAAGTTGTGTGTGAAAGATGGTGTGTGACAGGGAGGCAGCGGAGAGGGAGGAGGAGGAGGAGGAGGAGGACGAGGACGAGGAGCGAGATACAGAATCAAAAACAAGGACAGATTGAAAAGCAGAGGTGGGAAGGGTCAGAGAAGAGAAGAGAAGAAAAATGAAGATCACAGAAGAGAAAGAGCCAGAGGAAAGAAGATGCAGGCGCGCGAAAAGGTAGCAAAGTCGCGACACACGGTGTTTTTCCAATGATTTGTGGCTCCGGAAGGTCGAAAAGTAGGCGCGCTAAAGCGGCGGGTGCGGAGCCATCTGGCCAGATGAGAGATGAAAAGTTGCACGCCGTTGTGGCGCGAAGCACATGTCGAAGTCAAAAATGTAAAAAACTGACGGTCTCAGACCACTTTTCGAAGTTGGGATGTCGAAAAAGTGCACGCCGTTGTGGCGCGAAGCACATGTCCAAGTCAAAATGTACAAAACACACCATTCCCGGAACACTTTTGGAAGTTGAGATGTCGAAAAAGTGCACGCCGTTGTGGCCCGAAGCACATTTCCAACTCAAAAGTGTAAAAAAATGACGGCTACGGAGCACTCTTGGATGTTCAGATGTCGTCTTGCGTGGCAGGCGCAAGGGATTGTGCACCTGTCACACATCGGAAAAACGTGAGGGTTTTGTAGCAGTTTCAACTACAACCACCACTACACTCCACTCCACTCCCGTACATTCACTACACTGCACACAAGACATGGTCCCCCGGCTGATAGCCCAAGACGTGCGCGGCCGCGCCGGGCCCGCGCGTGCCCGCTGGCCCGCGGGCTCGCGGGCCTCCGCGGGACCTTCGCGCGCTCGTTCCGCGGGCCCGCGCGCTCTGCGGGCCCGTGGGCCTTCGCGGGCCCGTGGGCCCGAGGGTCTTCAGGTCAGCATTTTATCGTCTATATCTTCTTGCATTCTGTCTGGCATCTGTGTCTAGCAAATCTTTTCCGGTATTTATTCTGCCAATCCAACAAATATTTTCAAATATATTCTGGCATAAACTGACAGGAGGACCCGCGCGTTCTATCTGGCATATCTTTTTGGCATGCTATCTGGCATATGTGCCTATCTGGCATAACTTCTGACAATTCAAGGCTGCCATGCTATCCGGCATCTCTTTTGGAATTCTTTCTGGCATACGTGGCTATTGTGTCTTCTCACTTTCATTGTGGCATTCTATCTCACCCAGGCGCTTGTGATCCAGGTCCGGCGGGCACCACTCTGATCCGGGTTTTGCGGTTGAGGTCAGGCGCGGCGAGGAGGACAAGAAGGAGGAGAGGAGTGGCTGACATAGAATCTCACAACCCGGAACATGCAGGTGAAGGGACAACACTAACAAAGTGAAAGAAGCACATGGAAGCACGATACAGGCAGCACAGTCCCTGTCCGCTATGGTGTTTTATTCAATCAAAGGGCATGGTCACGCGGTATGAAGTTACAAAGATTCAAAAAATGAGTGAACTTAAATCATCTCAACCTCTCCGTGTGGACTGAACCCTTGCCTGTTGCTCCCTCCAAAACTCCAAGTTTGTGTACAATCACAGAAAAGCGATTCATGAGTGCTGTCACGCAAAGTAGAGGTCAGTTCGTCTCATCACATTTTGATTGTAGTTCATATACAATGCAAGGCAAAAACAATCTTGCTAACCTCACAATGCCTTTTTCTTCATCAGGGCAGCGGGCCCGCGGGCCCGAGGGTCTTCAGGTCAGCATTTTATCGTCTATATCTTCTTGCATTCTGTCTGGCATCTGTGTCTAGCAAATCTTTTCCGGTATTTGTCTGCCAATCCAACAAATATTTTCAAATATTTTCTGGCATAAACTGACATAGGCGGACCCGCGCGTTCTATCTGGCATATCTTTTTGGCATGCTATCTGGCATGTGTGCCTATCTGGCATAACTTCTGACAATTCAAAGCTGCCATGCTATCCGGCATCTCTTTTGGAATTCTTTCTGGCATACGTGGCTATTGTGTCTTCTCACTTTCATTGTGGCATTCTATCTCACCCAGGCGCTTGTGATCCAGGTCCGGCGGGCACCACTCTGATCCGGGTTTTGCGGTTGAGGTCAGGCGCGGCGAGGAGGACAAGAAGGAGGAGAGGAGTGGCTGACATAGAATCTCACAACCCGGAACATGCAGGTGAAGGGACAACACTAACAAAGTGAAAGAAGCACATGGAAGCACGATACAGGCAGCACAGTCCCTGTCCGCTATGGTGTTTTATTCAATCAAAGGGCATGGTCACGCGGTATGAAGTTACAAAGATTCAAAAAATGAGTGAACTTAAATCATCTCAACCTCTCCGTGTGGACTGAACCCTTGCCTGTTGCTCCCTCCAAAACTCCAAGTTTGTGTACAATCACAGAAAAGCGATTCATGAGTGCTGTCACGCAAAGTAGAGGTCAGTTCGTCTCATCACATTTTGATTGTAGTTCATATACAATGCAAGGCAAAAACAATCTTGCTAACCTCACAATGCCTTTTTCTTCACCAGGGCAGCGGGCCCGCGGGCCCGAGGGTCTTCAGGTCAGCATTTTATCGTCTATATCTTCTTGCATTCTGTCTGGCACCTGTGTCTAGCAAATCTTTTCCGGCATTTATTCTGGCAATCCAACAAATATTTTCAAATATATTCTGGCATAAACTGACATAGGCGGACCCGCGCGTTCTATCTGGCATATCTTTTTGGCATGCTATCTGGCATATGTGTCTATCTGGCATAACTTCTGACAATTCAAGGCTGCCATGCTATCCGGCATCTTTTTTGGAATTCTTTCTGGCATACGTGGCTATTGTGTCTTCTCACCCTCATTGTGGCATTCTATCTCACCCAGGCGCTTGTGATCCAGGTCCGGCGGGCACCACTCTGATCCGGGTCTTGCGGTTGAGGTCAGGCGCGGCGAGGAGGACAAGAAGGAGGAGAGGAGTGGCTGACATAGAATCTCACAACCCGGAACATGCAGGTGAAGGGACAACACTAACAAAGTGAAAGAAGCACATGGAAGCACGATACAGGCAGCACAGTCCCTGTCCGCTATGGTGTTTTATTCAATCAAAGGGCATGGTCACGCGGTATGAAGTTCCAAAGATTCAAAAAATGAGTGAACTTAAATCATCTCAACCTCTCCGTGTGGACTGAACCCTTGCCTATTGCTCCGCCCCCGATAGCCCAAGACTAGCGCGGGCCCGCGGGCCCGCGCACTCGCCGCGTCGGGCCGCCCGCGGGCCCGCGGGCCTCCGCGGGCCCGGGCACACGGTGGACCATAGCCGGTGAAGTGCACATTGTGTTTTGATGCAGGGCATACAACCCATCCGTTTTGTCAGGCTTTGCCTTCTCCGCATGAACCGGGCATTTCCGTGTCGACGAGACCATTGGCGGTTGCCGGAATGTATGGACGGATGTATGTGGGTACAGTGGGTACGTGAATATACATGTAGATAGATAGGTACATATGTAGATTGGATGGATTGGATGCATTGGATGAATTGGATGGATTGGATGGATTGGATGGATTGGATGGATTGGATGGATGGATGCCTTCGCTTTTCCATGTTAGCCAGTAGCCGATCAAACAGCAAAGAAAAACAAAAGTATCTGACAAGCATCAATTCATATGTTGTTCCATTCCATGATGTTCTATGTTCATCATACTTGTATAAAGGAACCTTCCGTAGCACAGCCGCACCCACACACTTGGACACACCCGAAATAGCCTGAAATATTGGAAGAAGTTTGTTCAACTGCATACAGTAGCTAAGGACCCTACGGCACAAACAACTTATGCACATGAACATCGCATCATGATTTGGCATACAGCATATTTGTTCTTGGCTTAGCCGCCTGCCATACATCATACGACGTGGTAAATTGCAGTCATCCAAAGATGCGGCTCATCAGGAGTATAGTGTTGCTTACATTCATTGTGCAGAGACGTTGGGCTTCTTTTAGGTCCTTATTAGGTCCTTATTAGGTCCTTATTAGGTCCTTATTAGGTCCTTATTAGGTCCTTATTAGGTCCTTATTAGGTCCTTATTAGGTCCTTATTAGGTCCTTATGCGCTGCGTTAGGCTGTTTTTCGATGTTGTTTCAATACCTCTCCCCCAGCCAGCAGCAAATCATACAGGTATGAAGGCAGGCCATCACCACGTCTGTCTGCCACTTTGTTAGTCAGCCGGTCATGTCCATCCGTCGGTCCATCCTCCGACATTTTCGTCATTTCCTGTCTGGTACTGTCTGGCAAATCCATGTAGCAGTGAAAGTAGAGAAACCCAAGAAGTCATGACCAGGCAATCCCACAAATGCCGTATGTCTGGATATGGTTCACGAAAGTTTGGATTGGACTTGTCAGGGTCAAATCGATTGTGGGCGTTTGTCAGGCATGGACACCCCTCTGTGTGATGGAAACCCGTTCCTGGATACAGCCTGGGACCAGCACTTGCACAGAAGGCCACCCCTGACCTGTGCGCAAGACTCATGTACAGACTGCCTAAGCATGTTGGAGGGTGCACGGGCCAAGGTCTTCTCTCAAACACATGCTGTTTTCAAATCAGAGCTTCATCTCCGATGCATGCCACATGTACCACGGCCACTGATAACAAGCGCCTCCAAGGGAATCCACATTTCGCCGTGGCACATAGCATGTAGCGGCCTCATACTCCATTCTGGCACCCCTTCGAATTTTGACGACGTAGCCAGACACTGGACAAAATGCGCTGTTGAAGACCCACTAAAGTCTTAAGCAAGGAAGGAGACATGTCCCCCAACGCAGCATGTGGTTGTTGAGCTCCTGAGGGATGTGCAGCCAAGCACGTCCCCAGCACTGTGTCGGCACCAAATGAGACCTGCGTCTCGCAGAGAAAAAGGCCACAAGTCTTCAGACAGAATTCTTGCCCGAGGTTCCGCACAAGAAGGGCTCTCTGAAAGTCAACAGGATTTGGACATCCGCAACGTTGGGCCTTGAAAGCAGGCAGCGCCCAATAAAATGAAGGGCATTGTTCAGTTGAACCTCCCTTACACTCTCCCGCACCATTCAACCAGGAGTCGCCCTTTGCTGAAATACGATCTTGTCCAAGGCACTCGTGACCTACCAACTGCACTGGCACTTCCTGCGCATTGAACCTGACACCGAACGTGTGGAATTCCACAGCGCACCCGTGTCTCAAGCGGCTCTAGGAGGACAGTCAAACCAGCTATCCCAGCTATCCCAGCTATCCCAGCTATCCCAGCTATCCCAGCCCCCTCGCGGCCTCAGCTGCTGCCTCTCCTGGTCTGAGCGATCAAATTCCGCATACCCTTTAAGGATCCCCACTGCTAAGGCAATGCTGTCACTTCTCCCGACTTATGGCCATCCATGACTGCGCAGTGCACTGGACAATCTCATCTCATTTTAGGAATTATGACCATTATGACCTGGCAAATGATGAAAAATTATGGCAAATATGGCAAAAGCAAACATGAATGGTATGAATTTCATGAATGTGAAGGCCCCACCCTAAGGGACACAGAGATACCCCGTTATCGAGCTGTGATTTGGGGTCGCATGGCTTCGACTTGGACAAATGAAAGTCAGCCACCACCATGGTGAAAACATGTGAAAACCATTTGTCAGTACCAAGTCTCAGTCTGCCACTAAAAATGTTCCACCACTCTCTGCCACTCTCTACCATCAAAGTTCTTTGAAAGCCGACTGCCCGGGCCTCGCCAACCTCGCAGAAAGCACGCCACTCCTCAGCACCATGCATTGATGATCGTTGGCCCACATATATTGCTTCAGCCACCTGTCCTTCCACAATGACAACAACACACTCAGTGATTGACCTAAAGTGGGTCTTCTGTACCCAATTCAATCAGATTCAATTAGAGTATCTGCAGGAACTCATTTGCGAGATCTTGCAAGGGCTTCATGAAGAGATGTGTGCCCCTCTACGCAAGTAGATGAAACAAGAGCATCTTGGATCTACTTGATCTACTTGCACTGTGTGAAATGCCCTGTTTCTCCTGTAGCTGCCACCGGTGAAAGCATCTCCCCTGCGAAGAGAGCAGCTTGCATTGTCCAGAGGATTCGAGATTAGCAATCCTATTAGCAATCCTACTAATCCAATATTAATCCTATTTCAGTCTTCTCGTGGACATCTTTACCGTCTTTACCCTCCTTGTAACATCTTTTGTGTCAGTGACATGCAGCCAAATACTGAATACAGACGGGCAAATGGTGTAAAAGTTGCTGACAAACCACATGCTGCAGGTAATTACTGATATGTTGGACATTGTTGGACTAAATTCAGGATTTGTCGCCGCCATTCATGATGGACCAATGGTGGAAGACGAAAAAGCGAGAAAGAGGGGACAAGAGGATCCGTCGGAGATCCAGCAGGAATGAGCAGGAAAACATCAACGCTGCATTCGATATGTGCTTGGTAGACATTGTTCTTGGTAGAGGCTAGGTTGGGGAACCTGTGCTACAATAAAACTCTGGCGATGGCAGCAAGCCCAGCTGCTTTCCTATTCCATGCATTCTCAGCTGAGTCTTATGTTCGGCCGCTTCTCAGTCATACACTCCCGGGAACAAACGTGTCTCAGGCTACCGTTTCAGGTATCAACTAACATGTCCACTTTATATCGGCGTTTTCCTGGGGAATGCATTGCAACTTTTTTTTTACACATTGACCCAAAAACAGCTAACATGTCTCAGTTCCTGCAATTGGGGCCCTTGGATTTCGACCCTGATCTGGGATATGTTAGCTATTTTGGGGGGATAGATTCAGCCAATAACCGCTCACATATCTCAAAACGACATCCTCTGAACAACACGGACACGTTAGGTGGACGCTTTCCATGGCCAGTCATCCAACCCTTACTAAATGCAACTGGTTTTTGGAATGCACCCCCAATCTTCCTGTCCACCCACGAGCATCATCTATGATGCGCTCTTCCGGAAGGAGTTGGGGCCCCTTTTTTCTCCACCGTTTTGTTATCAATGCGGTCTTTGATTTGAGCCCTATTGGGGTCTGGAAATAAGGATGCTGGGGCGTCCGGGGCGGTAGTCTTCTGGCAGTTTCCCGGAAACCCCCAGAGGAGGGGAACAACTTTTCCACTAACGTGTCCGGTGTCCATTCTGGATTTTCAGCTAACATGTCTCAAGTATAGGGCACTTATCATAGCCTATGCTCACAGCAGCTCAAGTATCCAAAGAAAAATCCACAAAAAAAGTGGATACGTATCTCGGGCTACCGTTTCAGGTATCAACTAACATGTCCACTCGGTACCGGCGTTTTCCTGGATTTCCTGGGGAATGCATTGCAACTTTTTTGGGGACCATTGACCCAAAAACAGCTAACATGTCTCAGTTCCTGCAATTGGGGCCCTTGGATTTCGACCCTGATCTGGGATATGTTCGCTATTTTTGGGGGATAGATTCAGCCAATAACCACTCACATATCTCAAAATCACATCCTCTGAACAACACGGACACGTTAGGTGGACGCTTTCCATGGCCAGTCATCCAACCCTTGCTAAATGCAACTGGTTTTTGGAATGCACCCCCAATCTTCCTGTCCACCCACGAGCATCATCTATGATGCGCTCTTCCGGAAGGAGTTGGGGCCCCTTTTTTCTCCACCGTTTTGTTATCAATGCGGTTTTTGATTTGAGCCCTATTGGGGTCTGGAAATAAGGATGCTGGGGCGTCCAGGGCGGTAGTCTTCTGGCAGTTTCCCGGGAACCCCCAGAGAGGGGGACAACTTTTCCACTAACGTGTCCGGTGTCCATTCTGGATTTTCAGCTAACATGTCTCACGTATAGGGCATTTATCATAGCCTATGCTCACAGCAGCTAAAGTATCCAAAAAAAAATCCACAAAAAATGTGGATACGTATCTCGGGCTACCGTTTCCGGTATCAACTAACATGTCCACTCTGTACCGGCGTTTTCCTGGATTTCCTGGGGAATGCATTGCAACTTTTTTGGGGACCATTGACCCAAAAACAGCTAACATGTCTCAGTTCCTGCAATTGGGGCCCTTGGATTTCGACCCTGATCTGGGATATGTTCGCTATTTTGGGGGGATAGATTCAGCCAATAACCGCTCACATATCTCAAAACCACATCCTCTGAACAACACGGACACGTTAGGTGGACGCTTTCCATGGCCAGTCATCCAACCCTTAGTAAATGCAACTGGTTTTTGGAGTGCACCCCCAATCTTCCTGCCCACCCACGAGCATCATCTATGATGCGCTCTTCCGGAAGGAGTTGGGGCCCCTTTTTTCTCCACCGTTTTGTTATCAATGCGGTCTTTGATTTGAGCCCTGTTGGGGTCTGGAAATAAGGATGCTGGGGCGTCCGGGGCGGTAGTCTTCTGGCAGTTTCCCGGGAACCCCCAGAGGGGGGGACAACTTTTCCACTAACATGTCCATTCTGGATTTTCAACTAACATGTCTCAAGTACAGGGTATTTATCATAGCCTATGTTCACAGCAGCTAACGTATCCAAAAAAAACACAAAAAAAGTGGATACGTTTGTTCCTTAGAGAGTAAGTCTTGTAGTCATGTCACAACAACCACAACCACACTCAGACGCACGCCTCCAATTGAAAATCGCCATCACTTGACAGCAGGGTAGACCTGCGCCGCAGCCAAAACATGGAATTCAGTGCGTATTGGAACATGCAAAATAATCAAAAATACCATTTGCAAACACGCCGACACCTTGTTAGCACTGATCTCGAATTCGATTCTATCGTGTTACATTGCGTCATATTGTGTGATGTTCTAAGGTTTGCAGATCACACGGTAATTTTAACTTGAGAGCAGGCGGAGGCGGACGAAAGGTAGTGTAGTGGGAGAGGAGTGGTGTCAAGATGCTGCGCCCCTAAGATGATACACCAAAAACGTTTTTGCGCAGTCTAAGATGATTTTATCCAGAGCATGACTGCATGATACGGTGTCTTGTGCAGCGTGAAATGATGCACGAAAAGGGGTTTATTAAAAACCCCTTTTTAAGACCCCTTGCAGCAACTGTTATTGAGGCTGAAGCAAACCAATTATGCTGGACTACAGGGACATCTCCCTCATGGAGAGTGTGCCTCTACTGTGGCGGACCGTGACCGCGTCACCCGTGGGAACTGAACCCATGACCATTTTAGAGGGGGGCGCCCCCCCCCCACGGGCTGGCCCCCCAATACCCCCTATGATTGTGCTGAAGCACGGAGAACTCAGGTAGCTGACGCTACCTTTCGTGAATACTGGATCAGCGCTGCTTCATCGCTTTCTACTGAATTGCAATGACCTGTATGCATTCACCTCGGTTATGCTGCTGCACATGACAATAGCATGGGATTGCTTTGCACTATAGACACGCAAGGGATTTGTTTGTATGCACAGACTTAAAGCAATCCGTCCAACCCCTCCTGTCCACAGAGGCAAACAACTGAAGTTCCCCACCTTAGCATGCGGGCTGTCAGTACCGGAACGTAGCAATCATGTTATTATGATTTAAATATTCTCTCAATGCTCATGCCTTTGAAAACCCTACCTCTGGGCTGCCAGCACTCTGCTTCCACCGGATACGTCCAGCATGCATCATACAGCACCATCTGGGTTTCCTGCACAGTGAATGACAAAGAAGTCTGGGTGAGCTCATGCCACGCTTCCACCAGCAAGAAAAAAGTCGTATACATGGTTGTTGATCAAAATTCCTTTATCCCGGGACGGCCATTCTTCGCGAATAAAAATTTTACTTGCGCGAAACTTTCGCGAACTCCATGTTTATCTTTCGCGGGGCCCATGTTGGCCAACAACACCTCTTGTGAAGATTCGCTCACCACCTGCCAAATTACGCCAGAGAATCACTGATCACTTCTTGGTAGCCTTTTAAACATGATCCCTTCTCAGGACAGATTTTTTTTGCAAAGTTTACTGGCCCACCCCCTTCAACATGCACTTTGACTTTCGCCCGCTCTTTCGCATAACTTTCGCGGAACTTTCGCGAAAATACCCCTATTCACAGACCCCGGCCATCAGCAGGGGGTGCACTGAAGGAAAAGCGAAGACCAGGGGCCTTGGTGTTTGGCTCTCGCAAAGCCTCACTTTTGGAAACTTGGCTACTGCTACTCGCATTCTCTGGTGCCCTTCTCCTGCCGGACCCCGGGCGGCAGTGGGTGGCAGCCCTTTACATATAATGATTATAATACCCAACTTTCGCGAAACTAATAAAATTTTACTTTCGCGAACTCGAAAAAAACTTTCGCGAGGGTTTCCAACATAACATGCACGGCTTTCGCAATTAAAACTCCTTACAAGGACCTTTAGATCGATCACCATATATAAATCCAAGTGAACGCTTTTGGCGTCAGTAGTTTCTTCATACGGAAATATAAGCCAATCCGATATTTTTTGTTTAGCATGCTGCTGTGTAGCACCAGGGCGCATAACAGGTGTTTCCCGGCCTAGCACATTTGCCAGGACTGCTACTGCAGTTCTTCTACAAGCGTTAAAGCCAGCTGTCCTCTGCATCTTCACGTCTAAGAACCTGAAGAAGGTGGCTTGAATCAGCCTGGGGGCTCTGAAAAGAATGCTATAAGAATGCTGTTTCATGCGTTTACCCAGCAGAAATCTTCCAGAAACACGTCCGGGTGCCAAGGTCTCCACAAGGGAAGCACGAGCAGCAGTGCTGAAGGTTGGAAGCCATGATCTAAATACCTCCATGAAAAGAGGAAACACTTGGAAACACTTGGTCACACTGATACCAACTCCTCCACATCATCACTTTGAACGGCACTACGCCGCCAGGAAGGCCAAGGACCTTGTCGCCAACAATCAGGTTCAGCTGCAACTCTTTGCCCAAACCTTGGTACTTGTCAGATCTTTTCAGATACTTCGATGTACTTTGTTGCACCATTCTTTCCAGCTATGAGCATCTGACCCAGGCCAAGCCTCTTTGAGACCTTCCGAATTTCTTTTGGGATTAGCAACGCATCTCTCTGCTGTTGCTGAACGTGTCACAATTTTGAAGAAAACAAAGTGGAAATTCAAAATTCAACGCTGCCGATATCCACCTCCAGTGCGATACGTCGAGCCGCAGCTCCTGAACCCGCCTCAGCCCACTTCCACCGTCTTGTGCCAGAGAATACGTCAACAGTTTGGCAGAAACGACATGGCCAACAAAGTAACTACAGCCTCCCTTCTTGAAGTGTTACAGTGATGTCAGAGACCCCAAATATAATCAAATGCAGCATACAATAATATATATAGGAAACAAAGTCTCGGTCAAGCTGAACAAAGTTTGTCGTCCAGCAATGCTTGCAACCACCAGCTCAAAGATCTAAGGATCTTGCTGTCAAGGAAAGCTTCAAACAACCCCGTCGGCCAAACCCAAGCAGATGTTCCTCACCAGCTATGGCGAAATATTTTGGAGGGTCAGCCTGCGAAATCACAATGAATGGGAGCACAGGCAACTAAGCTGAGGCGGAGAGCCTCCATTGCATAGAGCCTATGGCCTATGACCAAGCCTGACCGTTTAAAAACAAAAGTTTTCCGTGCGCTCCCTCCGGTTCATTAGTGCAATTTGAGTTGTGAGGTTTGGCTTTCAAGTCGCCTGTTATCCCTGCTGCTTGACAGCGTTTCTTTTGGAGGCTTCCCACTGGGGAAACATTCTCACTTTGAACTTGCTGCACTTGATGGGTCTTGATGTGGTTTGGCAAGGCGGTGGCATCGTCAACTTCTGATAGTTCAGCTGGGTGGAGACCTTGGGCGATATTTCATCATTCCAACTTGCCCGTGGACAACGGCCGCACCGAAAGAGCACAGGCCCATTTCTGGCGTACCAGGCAAATATCTGGCGATCCAGGAATACCGCGCGGGTGTGTCTCCTTGTTTTGTTCCCTTTTATGTGTTTTTTTTCCCGAGGGTAGGTTCCTTCCTGGGACGGACATGGCTACCACTGGGGTGAAAAGGAAAAGCACCACACCTACTACCTACTGTACCAGGTGTGGGGAAATTGGCTACTGAGCAAACAACATCCCTGTGCCCAAAATGTGAAGGGGCCAGGGCCCACCAAAATGGGACAGACTGCCTGTGCGAGTCATTCATGTTGCAGCCCGCTTGTCGTGAATGGATTGTGATGCGCCCAGTGGCGCTGTGTTGTGTGTGTGGGTGTGTGTGTGTGTGCACTCAACATTGTGGAAGGCCTTGACATTTCAAAATCCCAGAGAGCGATAGGCAACCCTGTCCATGAAGCAAAACGCAGAGATTCAAGTATTACTTGCCATGGCTCCTCATCATCGTGCGACAGCTTCAGTGGGCTGAGTTGCCCAGCAAAGTATGCCTGCTCAGAGATAGTTCCCCGTTGAAGAAAGGTTTTTCAGTTTTTCGGTTTGCCCTCGGGTTGCATTTCCCAGCGATCGGCCTCGCAGAGGTTCTGAAGCAACTCCTCGGAATGTGGGAGACCTGCAAACACTTCAGCCAGACCAACCCCCCAAAAAAATAACAAATCAAGCCAATTGGTCCGGCCCAGTTGGCCCAATTGGATCCAATTGGCATCTCTTTTGTTTGCAGGAGCACGTTCTAGATTCTACTCCTCTTGCTCAGCTCGAAGCACGGCAACGGTTCCCTTGATCCAGCTAGACCTAAGGGCAAGAAATGGGCAGTGATCTGTATGTTGAGTGTTGGTCTGCAGCTTCAAAATGAGAAGGATTAGCTCCGGCAGCCTTTAGATTAAAAACTCCTGGCTTAGCACATTGAATCGGTGAAAGCAAAGCTTCATGCGCATCAGCTGTCCAACTTCATGATCATTTAGCCTGGCGACTCATTTGAGCCCAAAAAGAAGTGTAAAAAACGGAACTCCGCGGAGAAGCTATGCAAGCCTACGCGGACTGCACAGGTAGGCTACGCGGAGCATGGTTCCATGAGTTCCATTGAGGCTACCTACGCGGAGGCTACGCAGAGGCTACGTGGAGGCTACGTGGAGGCTGCGCAGGGATATGCCGACCACACTTTTTGCCTAGGGGGGCGCGGGTGCAGTCAAAAAAAAACGCAGCTCATTTGATGACAATCTATGATGGACACTTGGCACAATGTGCAATAACAGCCTAGGCCTCAAAGAATGCCCAGATAAAGGATTCGGAGACTTCACAAGAGACAGAAGGAGCTGGACCTCTGACAGTTTGGCGGCGCACGGAAGCAGAAGCGCATTGTGCATCCCATCAACGGCAGCTACATGTTGATTTTGGTAAGTCGTTGAGCTACTCGCTGACAGACTGTCATCAACCTCAGTTCCACCAAGCCACCTCTCAAATTCCAAGTGTTTGTCACATCTCATCTGAAACATTTCCCTTCGCACATATGTCCCATGGCCATGGTCAATCATGTATGTGGCTGGTTGACACTGGGGCCTAAGCTCTGGGGAGCCGGTGCAACAGTCTCTTCCGAAACTCTGGCCTAAATTAACCCCATCCCGCAACAAAGGAGGCAAACATTTGAAAAAGGCTAAGTCGGCTAAGCACCGCAAGTCTGCTTCTGCAAATGCTGCAAAAACGAAGCAGTGTCAGTGTCCAGGACAACTAATCTGGCAAATGCAATCCGCAACATTCCTACCGAGGTCCAAACGATAAGGAGCAAAGTGCAGCCTTCGAAATCTTTGAAGCATTTCCACCACTTTGAATGCAACTGTGATAGGCATAGAATCGGTGGTTCTGGTGCTACCCATGCTGTCGTACGTGTTCTAATTCAAACCTAGAGGCCGTGTAAACATGGACCCAGGAATCCGGGATTCTTTGTGAAAATGGACTTGGCTTGACAATTTGAACCCATCGCCGGAGAAAAATTCATCACCTGATTCATCACCTTCATCTTTGACAATTCTGTCAAGCTTTTCTTCGTGCCGATGATCCCATCCAAGAAATGCGTTTTTTTTGCCTACGTCGCACTTCAATTCAGCGATTCGCAGCGCTATCTTATGGTGGAGGGTGTTGCGACCAAATATTTTTGCCAGCTCATGGCATGACTCATGGCACTCATTGTCACAGAAATTCAAAGGGCAACAAGAGGTCAAATCTGCATCGCCTTCCACCCTTCTGGCTGCCTGAAATGCTAGGGCCGTATCAAATGTAGCAACTTAAAATGATGCCAAAGAATCCTGGGTCGCTTTGCGTCTTGACAGCTTTGGAGGTTGTAAGGCATCTAGACCGATGGAGTATTTTTCCGGATCCATTTTGCCATGGACTTGTTCAAAGTTCAAATCACCTTTTCTCCTACGTGACCTACTTGCATGGTCTCCGACTCAAGCTGCTTTGCTTGCCAAAGCACTCAAGCCAACGGGCCCTGCAAGGCTTGATATTTGTGATCTTTCCATCCACGTGCCAATGGATCGGCCCATGGAATGGAAGAGCCTTGCAAAGGTGAAACGGTCCATAGCTTAGACTCTATTTGATCTGCTGCCGGGTCCCACAAGATGTGACGAGATTGAATAGCTAACCGGCTGGACGTCCAAACCTTTGAATGCATTTGGATCAGTCCCTGTCGGTAGAATTATGTTCATCTTGTGCCTTCGTCTACTTGCAGCGTGCAAGTATCTAATCTTGGCAGCCAACTATAGCTT